AAAAAAAAAAAAGAAAAGGGCAGTGCCTGTGGCTCAGTGAGTAGGACACTGGCCCCATATACTGAAGGTGGCAGGTTTAAACCCGGCCCTGATCAAACCGCAACAAAAAAAGTAGCCAGGCGTTGTGGCAGGCGCCTGTAGTCCCAGCTACTTGGGAGGCTGAGGCAAGAGAATCTCCTAAGCCCAAGAGCTGGAGGTTACTGTGAGCTGTGATGCCATGGCACTCTACTGAGGACGAGAAAGTGAGACTTTGTCTCAACAAACAAACAAACAAACAAACCCAAGAATAAAACTACTGTGAACACCCAAATAGAAATCTCTTAATTTCTCCTGGGTAAGTGCAGGTACACCGGGAGCCCCTGGAGCCTGCAGGTACACGGGGTGGGGGATCAGGTGCCGGTGTCTGTGGCAGCCGCACCCCCTGCTCCGAGTGGCAGCGTGCTCCGGCATCCCTGCCAGCAAAGCACGGCAGCTCCAACTGCATCACATCTGTCTACCCTTCAATTGTGGCTGTTCTAGTGGGTGTGAAATAGCCTCTCGGTGCGGTTTTAATTTGCATTTCTCTAATGATTAGCGACGTTGAGCCTTTTTCTGTGTGTGCTTTTGCCATCCATGCCTTTTCTTCGGTGAGTTGCCTGTTTACGTGATGCCCGTGTTTCTTACCAAGTTGCTTATCTTTTTGATAGTGAACTGCAAGATTCCTTATATATTCTCATTAGAACCTATTATCAGATATAAATTTATAAATATGGTTTTCTATTCATTTTTTTTCATTTTTTTTAAAGATCAGTTTTTAATTCTGATCAAGTACAACTTTTCGATTTGTTTTTACAGTTCACGCTTTTTGCAATGATATGAGAGGCCCTCTACATTCCCATCACAGAGATTTTCCTCTAGGTTTCCTTCAAGTTTTTTATGTTTTAGCTCTCACATTTGGACCTGCAAATCCATTTGAGTTAACTTTTGCATTTAGTATAAGGTAAGAGGTAAGGGTCAACTTTTTGTACATGAAAAACCGGTTGCTCTAGGACCATTTACTGAAAAGACCTCTCTTCCCCGTCGAACTGCCAGGCTCCTTACGTAGAAATCAGCTGCTGTTTATATGTGGGCCTATCTCTGGATGCTATCTGGCGCTTTTGCCAGGGTCACACGGCCATGATTATTGAGCTTTCTCAAAACTTTTGAGAGCAGGTGGAGTCTTTCAATTTTGTTCTGTTTTTCAAAATTGTTTTGGCTATTTGAAGTGCTTTGAATTTCTAATAAATTTAGAATCAGCTTGTCAGTTTCTATAAAAAGTCCCACTATGATTCTGACTTAGTTTACATTGCATCTATAGATCGATCTGGGGAGAGGTGACGTCTCAGTGTTGAGGCACACGTGCAGGTCAGCTGCGGTGCACTGGCAGCCACACTGCCGGCTTGGGACCAGTGATTTCTCCCTAAACTTGACAGACCGCCCCCCTAATTGGGTCTTAGTTTCCCTCAGTAATCTTTTGTGGCTTTCAGCATGTAAATCTTGTTAAATTTTGTTAGATGTGTTTCATTTCATGTTTTTTGATACCATTCCATGTATTGTACACACACACACACACACACACACAGTTTTAATTTCCAGCCTTTGTTGCTAGAGTGTAAAACTGCACCTGAATTCTGTGCAGCGTCTAATCTGGGGGTGACACCAATCAGTGCAGTTTCATTTCACACTCTGTGTCTCGCACCCGCGGCTGGCTGGTGGAGCTCACAGCACGCCCCTTGCTGGCCACAGTCCCGTGGTGACAGTGCCCAGCGTCTGGCACTGCTCCCGTGTTCTGCACCCTTCTCTAGCCCTTTAATGCAGCATGAACGTCAGGTCCCTGTTGACCCATTGTGGCTGGAAGCTGAAGCCCTGAAGTTCCATTTTGACTGATTGGTGCGATCAGCTCCTCACATGCGTTGCAGAGCCGGGGTCTGTTTCAGGCTCCTTCTGCATGCTCCAAAGCACTCGGCTGTACACTGGGGGCAACGGCAAGAGGCAGAGGCGCCCCAAGCCTTCTTCCACGGACGGGGCTGAGTAAGCAGCAAAGCACAGGGGTATGTCCGGAGAGTGACTCGGGTGATTCATGTTATGTTGACTTCCTCCCCCAAAGTTTGGTTTCGGTACTGCCTGTGAGCAAGGTCACAGTGAAGTGGGAGGGACACTGGGGGGAGTTCCAAGAGGCACCTGTGACCAAGGTCACAGCACAGTGGGAGGGACACTGGGAGGAGTTCCAAGAGGCACCTGTGACCAAGGTCACAGCGCAGTGGGAAGGACACTGGGGGAAGGTCCTCGAGGCACCTGAGCCTGCACGTCCCTTGTTGCCACTCGTGACCTCGCCAGGCCTGGGGCAGGGTCAGGTCCAGAGGGAGAAGATGGGGAGCGGCTGGAAGCACTTGTCACGCCAGGGAATGTTGGGCCCAGATCTGACCAGAGGGTGGCGCGGGAGTCAACACGGCAGGAAGAAAAATGATCCCAAAACCAAGAGGGAGACTGAGAAGAGCAAAGATCCTTCGTTCCCCGTGTTGAGTTTGCTCAAATGGTGGGGTGCACAGCCCTGCGCCCACAGCTCTCCACATAGCCCTGCTGAGCCCCTGCAGCCTGAGCAGCCTCAGCCTTGCCCCCACTCTCAGCATGTGGGCTCTGCAAGCTTACGGCTCAGTTGTTGAGCAAACACGAGGTCCCCACGCCTCACTGGGACTCTCTCCCAGAGGGTCATTCCTTCCCCGAAGTCTCCATGTTCTCCAAGGCCTCGGATCAGGGCCTCCCTTGCTGACTATACCAGCCCTACCTCTCTTCCTGGCACCTGGATTCCCGACAATGAGGATGCATCTTGATAACTGCAGTGGCGCTGGGGAGGTCCTGCCTGCTGCCCTTCCGGAGCCTTGTTTAGGCCTCTCCAGTGACCCCCATGTTCCAACTTGAAGAAATTCTACCAGAGATTCTTACAGCCCATGTGGGTGGGAGTCACTGAGCCGTCTTGTGAAGGATTCTAAGTCTTAGATAATGAATCCTGGTTTTCTGTACTTCTACCCTTCTGTATGTTTTCTTCAATAGCACCTTTTGGATCTATTTACACTGAATTTTGCACGGTATTTTTGTGCAGTCACACTTGTGATTTAGTTGTGGATGAGGGATGTGTAAGTTCCATCCTGCAGCCAGGTCTGTCCATCCGTCCGTCTGTGGGGCAGGTGTGAGCACTGGTGACAGAGGCCAAACAGCCCACAAAGCCTGAAGGACCCACTGTCTGGCTCTTTACAGAAAGAGGCAGCCGGTTCCTGTTGTAAAGGCATGTTTTTACGCAAAGTAGCTGGCAGCACCCTGTGTGTTCACACGGGATAGGGCGCCGGGGGCAGCACCCTGTGTGTTCACACGGGATGGGGTGCCAGGGGCCCTGTGTGTTCACACGGGACGGGGTACCAGGGGGCAGCACCCTGTGTGTTCACACGGGATAGGGCGCCGGGGGCAGCACCCTGTGTGTTCACACAGGACGGGGTGCTGGGGGCAGGGGTGCTGCAAATTTACCCCCTCTCTGGCTCTCTCCTAACTCGGAGTATTTTGCTATCTTTCCTCCTTAGATTCACGGCTCCTCTCCTCCTCTCTCTGGTGGTGGCCAGAGGGATCGTACTGTACATTCGGTGTTCTTTATCAGCTCTGCATTTTTTTGTCCAGATCAAATAGCACAATGAGGGAGGTAAGAATTTATTTTATTTTTGTGGAGAGCATAATTCTGATTAATTGTGGCTACTCAAAATTGTACTACAGCTAAATCTGTTTACTTTTCAGGAACCAAAGAATTACAGCAACGCTTATGAGTTTATGGAGTATTACGGGGCAGTGGAGAGCAACTACTCCTTTGATGAGGATGCCCTGCTGTGCTCCCTGCAGGAGGTCAGGGAGTTCTCCAGGCTCTTCGTGCCGGTTGCGTACTCCTTGATATGTGTCCTCGGGCTCGTGGGCAATGTCCTGGTGGTGACCACCTTTGCTTTCTATAAGAAGGCCAGGTCTATGACAGACATCTACCTCTTGAACATGGCCATCGCAGACATCCTGTTTGTCTTCACTCTCCCCTTCTGGGTGGTGAGCCATTCTGCCGGGGCCTGGATTTTCAGCAACGAGGTGTGCAAGCTGATGAAAGGCATCTACGCCATCAACTTCAACTGCGGCATGCTGCTGCTGGCCTGCATCAGCCTGGACCGCTACATTGCCATCGTGCAGGCCACCAAGGCCTTCCGGCTCCGGTCCCGGACACTGCCGCACAGCAGAGCCATCTGCTTTGTCGTGTGGTCGCTGTCAGTCCTCATCTCCAGCTCCACTCTCGCCTTCAATCAGAAGTACAGCCTGCAGGGCAGGGACGTCTGCGAGCCCAAGTACCACCCCCTCTCGGATCCCATCCGGTGGAAGCTGCTGGTGCTGGGGCTGGAGCTGCTTTTTGGGTTCTTCATCCCTTTGGTGTTCATGATATTCTGTTACACCTTTATCATCAAAACCTTAGTGCAAGCTCAGAACTCTAAAAGGCACAAAGCCATCCGTGTGATCCTGGCCGTGGTGCTGGTGTTTCTGGCTTGTCAGATTCCTCATAACATGGTCCTTCTCGTGACAGCAGCAAACATGGGCCGGATGAACCGGTCCTGCTCGGGGGAGAAGCTGCTTGGCTATACCAAAAACATCACCGAAGTCCTGGCTTTCCTGCACTGCTGCCTCAACCCCGTGCTCTACGCATTCATTGGCCAGAAGTTTAGAAGCTACTTTTTGAAGATAATGAAGGACCTGTGGTGTGTGAGGAGGAAGTACAAGTCTCAGGGCTTGTCCTGCGCCCGGATACACTCAGAAACCTTCGCCTCCCGGCAGACCAGTGAGACCGTGGACAATGACAACGCCTCCTCCTTCACCATGTAGCAAGTTAGAAGTCCCTAAAGGCTTTGAAAAACATACTAATAGATGTTAGGAAAAAAAGGAAGGAAGGAAGGAAGAAGGAAAGAAAGAAAGAGGAAAGAAAAAAGAAAAAAAATGGCCATGGCCAAATATGCATGGGAAAACTGGAAATTACACACAGTTAGGCAGGTGTGTTTCCTGAGGACCAGCACTGAACGTGCTCAGGGGCTGTGCACTCCTCTGCGTGGGCTATGGGCTCTGCCTGGTGTCTCCCAGAGTGCTTCACAAGGATGCTTCATGGCTCCAGAGAAGATTACAGGGCTGGCATTCCACACAACAGTCTTTGGGAATTGCTGAATTAAAGTACATGATTTACATGTGTGAATGCTTTCAGACATATTCACCCAGATGTCATAGGCCACAGTCTCTCCTGGTTCTAGCACTAAATGGCAACATGGTCTGAAAAAACAAAACAGAATAGGCAAACAGAAGCCGTGGCATAGCTCACGTCAGGCACATTTGAACATTTATCTATCAAAACGTTTCCTGTTGCTAAGTAGTGGCAGAATGGGCTAGTGTTTATTCTCATTTCCCTCTGATACCCACCATAACCGTAAGCTGGGAAATGTGGCAAGAAAGGCAAACTCAGGTGTTCACACCGGAAAAAGCTTCAGGGAGACGAGAATGGGGGCTGAACAAGTGCCAGTGACAACTGTCACCAGGGGTCAGGCTGTTCAGGGTGTAGCAGGCCATCAGGGAGGTGTACAGTTGCTTTTATTTCCCTGGGAACTATCCCCCGAAATTAGCCACCTGCTGTATGGGTCTATTAGGCCGAGAGTTCTACAATGACAGGGCCTGTAATGACCTGTGTACCTCTGTGTCCCTCGTGCGACAGAGTCTCAGCTTACAAAAGGGGTTTAAGGGATATTTGTTTGATGAATCATAAATGGGAATATGTTGTGTACTTTAGAGGGTTAGATAACTTTTAGTCTTTTAAATAAATAGAATACCTTTTTTAAAAGAAGGCAACTTGGGTGGTGCCTATGGCTCAAAGGGGTAGGGTTTAAACCCGGCCCTGGCCAAAAACTGCAAAAAAAAAAAAAAAGCAACTTTATTTAGACAATGTGGAGATAATTTTAATTCCATTTCCACACTGCAGTTAAAGGACAATGTACGGCTGAGGGCTTAGGTTCTGAAGAGCTTCAAACCAGGTAATGCCCAGCCAGAATTAGGTTGGCTTCTGATAGCAACTTTGAGGTGGTTTTACCCAATATCTGAGTTGTGATGAAGTCACAACTTTTGGTTGTGTTCTATTGGTTTTACCCAATATCTGAGTTGTGATGAAGTCAGATTTTAACAAAATCTTCAATTTCATAGGATGTTTATACATCTAAAGTGTAAAACGTGCTGTGTAATTGCTGTGAATATAAGCCCCCCAAATATTCTTGTATACAAAAATACAAGCATGTGTTAGAGAAAGACTGATATGATCAGAAATACTAGTATGTTTAATCCTGAAAAATGTGTTATTTTAAACTTTATTTTGTTCTTAGCTTTAACTGCATCTCTCTGTAAAATACAAAATGATGACTTACATTCAATGTCTGTGTTTTTAAAGCGTAGTTTTGGATTTGCAAAATAAAAAAAATGTGTTCTGTACCTGAAGTACAATCATCTTTCAGCTTCAAGTTGCAGACTGAGGATCCCATTGTCGGGAGGGTGTGGAATTCAGGGTGTTTCTTGTCCTTCAAATCTGTCAGTGTTTGACTCCAGAAAGTCTGGGGAATGTCTGCAGAGGAGGCTGTGTGCCCACATACACATGGTAACAAACAGGTAGTGATTCTGTTGCACTGCATAGAATGGGGGTGAGGGGAAACAGACTTCCAGGAGGAGAGCGTCCTCCCCACTTTGCACAGGGAAGCCCGTGCATTTTGACAGTGACGGATTAGGCTGCAGGGGGATTGAGAGCACAGGAGAGGCCGTGGCTCAGCCAAGGCAGCTGGACAGCCCCAGGCAGAGCAGGGCAAATGCCCTGCAGAGGGACTCACCACCCAGGACACATGCTGGCCGGTGCCCAAAGGTGACAGAGTTTGGTAAAAAGGAGAGAAAGGGATCGTTCAAGCTGTGGGGAATTTGCTCCACCCTGCGAGTTTTCCAGCCACTGATTTGCAGGTTAGAAACCAAATGCCCCACACTGGGTCTTCCCCCTACGCTGCACTGAGGACCAGCTCAGAGGAGCCACGTCCCTGGGACACATCAGAACTTTCTGTTCAGAATTGTTTCTTTTGCCCACATTGTTAAAAGCTAAAAATAATTACGATTATTAAATAGATCTTTAATGTGTTTTAACTGACAAAAGCACTTAACTCGGAACTGGTAATTTAAAAAAGACCCTGAATATAATGTGAAAATTTAAAAATAATTTGTGAGGTAATGGTAATCTATCAGCTGAATTCACCCTTTGGGCAGCCTGTGAAAAGATTCTGAGGACATTCTGTGAACTGTTGATACACAGATGGGGGACCACCCACCTGGCTGCCAGGTCCGGGATGCTCAGGGGTCATGTCCACAGTCAGACCTAGGGTCTGATGCCTTCTCTGCTTCATGCTCCCCGGCCTCATCCTCCCCCTTCTCTATGGATGTCTGGCCTGGATTGGGAGCAACAGGAAAAGCCCAGGGGCTGGTCTCAGGCTTGTTTTTAGAAACGACTGAAAATGTAAAGTGTGAATGGCAGGGGAACAGTCTGGAGGAGGGACGCAATTCCTCTGAAGGCTTAGAGTGACCCATTAAGCAAAGCTCTCTTTGGGATGAGCGTGTGGGCTGGGCTGGCAGTGGGACCCCAGGGGAGGAGGTCGACCCAAACGAAGCTGGTGGTCTGGGCCCCTCTCTGCCTCTTGGCCACTCAGTTTCATGTTTTACTCCTACAGTGACTACCGGGAAATGCACCCCTAGGTTTCTCCAGTGGATGGGAGTGAGGCCAAGAGCCGGGCCCTGGGGCCTCCATCTGGGATTGGAATCAGTCTTCCCATTTGCTGGTGTGAGTTTATGAAGTTATTCCACCCCTCAAAGTCCAGGTTCCTTATCCTCAAAACAGGCTTGTGTGTGTTTCAGGAATACATTCCTGTCTGACGGTAAGTGCTTTGTAAACCTTGTCGCTATTCCAGACAAGAGCATCTGGGGGACAGAAAGGGAGGATGGGTGTCTAATTGACAGTGAGGAAGGGCAGTGTGGGCACTGGTCACACCCTCTAGTGACCTGAAACGGAGCCTCTTCCCTTATTTCCACCATGCTGTATTCAGTTGGCTTAACTTAGAATATAAGAATATAGTTTGGGCCCACTATTCTTGCGGCTATTCTTCACTAGAGCCTTCTGGAATATTCAACAAAACAGAATAAAACAATTGCTCCATGTTATTATATTACTTTTTCAATAAAAGACATACAATGACGGCAGTCTATTGGTTAACTACTGTCACCTGTAGCAGCTTTTGGTTAATATCTCTTGCATTTATAAGTTTTCTTTCATTTAAAACAGAGTTCCTCAAACTTCGGCCCATGGGCCATGTGAGGCCCACTGAAGACATTTATCCGGCCCGCCGGGTGTTTTTGCCGCTGTTGCCTGTCCTGCTTAGCAGCTGACTTGTCCTGGGACCCACAGTCTGGCCCTCCAATGGTCTGAGGGACAGTGAACTGGCCCCCTGTTTAAAAATTTTGAGCACCCCTGATTTAAAATATTCTTGATTCCCCTTATCTGTACACGTGCTGCTGTTTCATTTACTCATTACTAAAAGGTCGAGAGAGTCTAATCGATTAAATTTCCGGGACAGAAATCAGTGTTTCTGAATGGTCCCGGGTCTTGGAAGCTTCTGGTTGAGCATGGCCACTGTTGTGGGTCAGTCTTAGCAGAGCCCTGTTTGGTGTGTGTTAGAGTCACCCACTCTGACCTGGACACGGGGGCGGGGGTCACTGACCGGTCAGGGTTGTAAGTCACAGGCAGTCAGCAAAAGTGCTAAGATTTCAGCTGAGAACACCTGAGTCCACGCACCTGTGCAGGGTGCTGCCTCTCCCTGGCCTGCAGCTGTGCCCCAGTCTCTGAACATTGTCACTTCAAAGCACCTTGCCCACTGGGCTTGGCTGGCAGTGGGGCCTTTGTGGAAAGCTTTCACTGCGGAATGTTGTGGCAGCTTCACAGGGTCCTGTGTCAGAGTCAACAGCCCCATGCTCCAGGGTCACGGAGGCTGGTGCAGGATCACAGGTGCCTTACCCCCTCCCCGGCTCACTCCCTGAATCCAGTGCCAGCCCTGTGGATGTGTCTCCCTGGACTGCAGAAACCTCTTCTTTGGATTTCCCGAGTGTGTCTGAGTCCTGTCCTGTCATCTTGTCTGTGTGCAGAGGCTCAGGGCCCGCCTGGAAGCAGCAGGGGAGGGGAGATGTGAGCCGTGAAGCTCTGGGATTTGGGGAGCCAGTTGTTAAAACTGTTGGCAGTGGCTCAGCGCCTGGGGTTCAAGCAGCTAAGGCACCAGCCACATACACCTAAGGTGGCGGATTTGAATCCAGCCTGGGCCCACCAAACATCAATGATGGATGCAACCAAAAAATAGCCGGGCGTTGTGGTGGGTGCCTGTGGTCCCAGAGACTTGGGAGGCAGAGGCAGGAGACTCACTTGAGCCCAGGAGTTGGAGGTTGCTGTGAGCTGTGATGTCACGGCACTCTACCCAGGGTGACAGCTCGAGGCTCTGTCTCAAAAAAAACAAAAACTGTTGGCTGCGTAAGCTCTGCCGTGGTGGGAGCATTTATGTCACGGAGGTCCGGCAAGTGGATGGGACTGCTGCTCCTTAGGGCGGTGGTAGTACGAGGGGGGCCTCTGGGAGTGATTTGGTCTCCAAACCCTTGTGAAGTAATAGGCGAGTGCTCCCAGCAGAGAGGCCTGAGGGAGTTCCCCGAGGCCCCGGCAGCAAGGTGCTTCCCTCGCCAGCTTGGACTTCCTGGCCTCCTGAAGTCTGATCAACACATTTCTGTTGCTTATGAATCACTCAGTCTGAGGTGTTTTGTTATAGCAGGAATGGGAGTGGAAGGCACTGGGCCAGCTGCAGGAAACCCGGACGCAGCTCAGCTCTGCACTCAGCACCTGTGTGGGCTCCGCCCACCTGCTGCACCTCCGGGAGGATGTTTGCTTATCTATAA